GGGGACGTCTAACCCCACTTATAACTACCCATGAACCTCCAAGTAAACCACATAACCTAAACCCCTAAACCCTAAACCCTAAACCCTAAACCCTAAACCCTAAACCCTAAACCCTCTCCCCTCAAGAGCGGCCCATCCTCGACCCTAAACCCTAATCCCTAATATGGGGGCCTTAATTATTAGAAAAGGGTTTTGGGACCCACTGCACTAGAATTATAATAAGGGACCCCCATTACACTAGAATTATAATAAGGGACCCCCACAATAGTATTGGTAATTATTTAGGCCCTTACGTTAAATCCTCGACCGGCTGGTGTCCAACCCTCCCCCCTGCCCAAGCTCCTGGTCGATCAGTTCCTCCGAATCGCAGGCTTAACGCTTAGGGTTTGGCGTTTTACCGTTTAAGGTTGAGGGGTTTAGGGTTTCAGGGATGAGGTACCCTAAACCTTCAAGCGCTTCGGGTCTGAGGTTTGGGGCAATCGGGCTTCTGGGTCGTAGGGCGTTGTGCGGTGGATGGTGTCGCGATTCTCAACCAAGGTGAGATGCATGCGGAAGGTTACTCTTGACCTCACCGCTGTATAAAGCAAAGACTGCTAACGCTAAGGGCCGAAGAGGCGCATGAACGGAGCGATGCGAAGGTCTCTTAGAATCCCGCCTATTGCGTTCCATAGTCGTTGCAAACACATTCCGGAACACTCCAGACAATAGTATGTGCTCTGTGGAGCTGAGCCTAGAAGGGCTGGAGCCTTTAGTTACAGGGCCTTTGTGCTACGAAGCGAGTAAACAGAAGTGTGGTGGTAAAGGAACATGCGCGACACCTTTGTTTCGCGGCAGGTGCAAACAAGACAATGTATTCACATACACTTCGACATAGGCCCCGGCGCACACACACGCAGACCAACAAAAACACAGAGACAGAGAGAGACAAACAAAGCTAATTCCTTCTGTATATACGGTTGCGCTAGGCCGCTAGGCGCCCCCCTCCCAGTGATTAAATTTCGGAGTTTGGTTTCTTCACATTCCTTGTGAAAGGTTGGGTGGTTATCTCCCCTCGCCTGTGAAATGCTTGACTGCTGCAGGTTGCAGGGTTGAGGCTTCACAGGGGGGGCCGGGGGAGGGGGGGGGGAGGATACCATCCATTGGGTGAGGCCCAGAACTAGGGCGCAACCATAAGTACAGAGAAGCACCGCGAACTCTCTTCATTGTCTGCCCCTGTCACCGTAGCTTGACCTGAACGGGCAAAGACAAGGCGCATATGTATATATGTATATACATATACACACATTCACACATACGTACATACATACATACATACATACATACATACATGCATGCATGCATGCATGCATGCATGCATGCATGCATGCATACATACATATGCTTAAGACGGCGAAGCATATGGAAGTGTTCCAGATCTATCAGTTCATTAAATTAGGGATATAATACAAATTAAAAACGACATGAATACGATTGGACAATAGGAAATGAATACGAAAACAGTAGGAAATAAATACGAAAACAATAGGAAAATAGGACACAAATAGAACGAAAAATAAGTCAGTTTTGGCCCCAACACACCAGACTTAAGACAACATGGTGTAAAACATACACGAACAAAACGTGTAACGAAAATGTCCCTTATTTGCGCGGGCATTTCATGTTCTGCTTTTTTCTTTATTGTTTCCCAGCTGGTTCGTATTCTTCCCCTATTTCTATATCGTACTTATTTTGTATTTTTTGTACCAATCCTATTTTCGTTTGTATCTGGTTCGAATTCGTTTTGTATTATTATCCTGATTTAATTAAATGGATGGCTCCCCTACACTTCCAAGGCTTCGCCGTCATAAACATATGCGCATACCTGCTATGTATATGTATGATATGTGCCCGCACAGACAAGAATCCGACCTGAGAACATAAAACACTCAAGTAACCACAAATCTCATTTTGCACCTACAGTTGCATAGGTTCTGTAGCACACAAGTACAGCCAGGTAGGTCTTTAGCGCAGTAAGGTAGCACATGTCTTGTTTGAATTCAACAAACATTAAACAACCGTCACAAGGAGTCATTCCCGCGTGAATGTCCTAAACAAAACCCTTTTTTCGCACCCAGGCCTATTACAATACTGTCGCGACGGCCCGGTACAAACCCTGACCCTAAACCCTCAAAGCCCCTCACGCCCTAACCCCTCTAAGTTCTGACCAAGCATCCACGATCTTGGCAATCACCGCCTCGCCGAGTCCTTGCTGCGCAGCGCTGGGCAGTGCCTCTCGCAGCTGCTGCAGCCTGGGCGAAGCTGTCGGCCGTCTTAGGCGGTGGCCTCAGGGTTTAGCCTTAGTTTTCGCTCTCACAACCTTGAACTTGCCAGACGAAGCCTCAAGGCCACATCTGCGCGAGAGGCAGTCAAGGCTTCACGCAACATGCTAATGCACCAACACGCCAAACCGAAGTACTCCCGCAAAGCGAAGCCACCCCAAACACACCGCACACAACCGAAATGCTCCATCTAGACCAGCCCATTTCACCATTTTCGAGGCGTGCAAGCCACAAGCGATACAGGCTTCTAAAGTCTTGGATGTATACTAAGTGCTTGTCTTCTTATACATTTGTGGGGAGGTATGCATCCCCAGTTGCTAATTTGGGTGTTTGGGATGCAGCATAATGCACGTATGAGCATACACCTCCTCAAAAGATCTAGATGCAAAGCTTGTTTCTAGATACACACTTAGCTGTTCCCCCCGCGTCATAATACAGATCCGAATATTATTGCCCATAAAGAGAGGGGTTGTGGTGCTTCTGGGTCTGCATTAAGCGTCGCTTGCCGGACTACACAAAACTATGGCACTGCACAACAATGACAAGCTACGTTTTCGAACACTATACCATACCATACCACACCATGGTCACCATACCATACCATTCGATACTGCACTTTACTGCGCTATACGATACTATAGTATGCTATTTGGTGCTATCCTCTACTCTACTATGCTGACACTCTAATCTACGGTACCATACTCTACTCTACCATAAGTATAATAAGGCCGACGAGGGGGAAGCCACGAGCAAACCATCAAGCTTGGCCCAGGGACCGGTCGCGGCGGCGGTTGGAGTTCAGAAGGGCCTGGGCGCTCGAAACTTTGCATGGCTTTGGGGTTTGAGTTTAGGGTCTAAAGTTTGAAGTTTAAGAAATAAGGGGTTTTCCCCAGTAGAGTTTAGAAAGGCTTTCAACAAGTTCTTTTCGGGTCTACAAATTTCGATAAGGGCGCATAAACGCCCTGGTTCGGATTGTGGCTTAGGGTTTCAAGGCAAGGACAAGCAAAGTGCCCTAGCAGCCAGCTGGAATCATCAGAGTAGCTGTTCCGAGGGAACAGCTTGCAGAAAGGACTCCCCGTCAAAAGAAAAGTAAAAGAGTACTCCTGGTGGACGGAATAAGACTTCAGCCTTATCTGTTGATGAACAGGCAGGGTAATCAAAGATTTTGCCCATGAGCCGTAAGCACTCTCTTCGCCAACGCAGGGTCCTATAACTCACGCTCCCAAACCGTCATAGAAGCTTGCGAAACTAACCTTGTTCTGAAAATGCCCTGTAAAACTCTTATAGAGCCCTTCTAAAACCCTCGCATAGGGCCCTGCCAGGAACCCTTACGGAACCCTTACTCAACCATTGTAGCACCCTTCCAAGTACCATCACAGAACTAAGCAGCAACATGACAGACCCCCTACCCTGGTTTCCCTGCTGCGATGGAGCTATGCTTCGCATCGTGGTCGCTGCTTGCTGGACATGATTTCGGGACGGGCTTTAGGGTTTCCAGCTTCGGGTTTGGGATTTCGGCTTTTGGTGTTTAGTAGTGCCTGAGCATTTTGGCATTCAGGAGCCCAGGAAGTCTATGTATACAAAAGAAGCTCAGCCTAAACCCCAGAACAGTCCCAGACCACGACACGTATTGCTCCCCTCACCCCTCCCGATCCCGCACCTCGCCGGTAAGGGAGCAGGCGGGGCAAGTGCAGCGGAAGTTGAAAATCCTGAGCCGAGGACCACTGAACCATAAATCCTGGTAAATCCATAATGTATAGATGCACTGGAAACATTAAATACAATCGATATTGTATCTAATCTTGAAGCCCCCAAAAACAAATCCATCATAAAAAACTTTACAGCCCCTAGACCCAAGACGTCGAGTGCTACCAATGAGAAGCTTTGCTGCCTCGGGTGCCCTTCTTGGGCCTGCTGAAGGGTATCTCTGTGGGGCTTTCAGAAACTTCGAACTTTTATAGCCAAGATGAGAATCCTTCAGGGGGTGCTGCGATCTCTGGGTGAGTCCATCAGAACCTGGAGGCAGGAGGGGCCCAACGCAAAGCTACCTGTCAAGTTGACAGCCTCTCAAGTACCCTTCGAAGGCCTTGTCAAGGTCATGTGGACGTCTCATCAATTCACCGCGGCGCGACAAATATGATCCTCATGTAAGTCCCTCGCGACGAACGGGTTCACGAATCAGGGATCTACATCATGCTCAATCTCGCCACCCCTTCGGATGAGCTTTCCGGAACTGTTCTCATAGCAAGCTCTAAACCAAGGAAGCACCCCAAGCAACCTAAAACTCTTTGAACCCAACCACCTTTCGAGAAGAGGTGCGGGTCAAAGAGACTTTATCGCCTCGTCTAGGGGTGTAACACAGAGCTATTCTGCACCCTACACCGTAAAGTCTTTCGCTGTAGAATCAAACTCTTATACCCCACCTGAACCCCACACCCCACACCCGAGAAAAAATGGGTCATAACCTGAAATAGCGAACCATGAAGTACAGCCTTTCAGAAGCAGAATAAACTGTTGGTGTATACTCTGTACTGTTGTCAAGGAACCTATCTATACCCAAACCAGCCCTGGTTTGCCCTCAAAAAGCGGCCTCTGCAGTGTGCTTTGGCGATCTTGCCGGGTCGAAAATAGATCCTCAAACTCAAAATCACATCGCGTGGTTTATGGTTTACAATTCGGCGATTTAGGGATGGCCCTCACAGACGATCACAAAAACCTCAACAAGCAAACCCTAAAATCCTTGAACATCCCAAAGCCCCAACGCACCCCGAAGCAGACAGGAAATCCTGCAAGGCCTCCCGGTAGGGCTCGGGGGTGCAAGGCTGAAGGTTTTAGGGGTTCGGCGGGCTCTACACAGGTGCATCTTACCTAGGCCGGACCTAAGCTTTCTAAAGGTTAGGAGCTTCATTTACCAGTGCTTAGGTTTTGCAGGCAAAAGAAGCTTGGAATTCAGGGCAAGGCCCGAGGCTGAGACTTGATTTAAGGATTGCGAACGGCTTCGGGGGTTTCCCATTTTCGGACACTCCAATCTGCCGCAGGTTTGCCAAAGCCTTATCGTAGCTCGTGAAGGTAACCCTCTTCTAACCCTTGTAGCAACCTGTATTATCTATGTATCTGTCAGAGGGCGATGTAGGTGATGCACAGCTCCTCGCCTTTGCGAATGTTTCCTGGATCGCTGCTTTCTTTGACAATTTCGCAGTTCCGCTGCTTCGGTCGAGGGCTGCAGCCTACCAATACATCAACTTGATACTCTCCCGTCTTAGCAAGGACCCCCAACACAACAATGACATAATCAGCCCTGTAACCCTAAAGGTAACCCTCACAGTGACCCTTCTAACCCCAAGGGCAGCCATAAACCCGCCCTTTCGTAACCCTTACTTCTTACTACTTGTGATCACCCTTACAGTAGCCCGTTACGTGCTAGTGAGGCGTCGCACGCATGCGCCCCAAAGCTTCTCGGCTTCAGGAAGGCTTGGGGCAAAGAACAAGGGCCTGGGATTTGAAGTGCATACAGGGCGGCTGCTTCTGGCTAGAATCTTGGATCCTATAAGCTTACGGGAAAATTCTAATATTTTGCCACCCAAGAGGGTCGAAACCTACTGACTGGGCTTCCAAACGGATGGTGACAGCTGCGTTACACCTCTGGGACTTGCACATTATAGCCGGCCATGCTAGCTCGTTCCGTTGCACTTGATTTGACCTTGCAGACGGCCTCGCACACCTCCAAACGCTAATCCGAAAGTTTGTCATGGGCGTGAAAACGAGAAATTCGCGACCATCTCATGCTTCTGTCTACACTCGGGATTTGGGCTTAAAAACGGGGACAAGCGTGACACTTCCTATTGAATCTTGTCGTGGCAGAAGACCCGATGATACGGACAGCGCTTAAACATGCCATCAAGAATCGCAATGCATGGAGCACTTCGCCACCAGCATCTTCCTGGTAGCTGTTGTTGACCTGGGAGATGCTGTCAAGTTCCCAGGACAACCCTGACCTCAAGCCTCATCCCCCCAATCTTCCGCAATGGAATGCCGGGGAGGCTTCACGAGCTTTGCAGCCCAGGCACATTGTGTACGCAACTGTGGTTGAACCGCGACATCGTCGAATACAAGCCCACGACGTCAGCGCCATCTGCCCTCTCGATGGGCAAGCCGTTCGTTCGCACAATCCTTGATTGGCCAGGACGGCAGGCATTCTGAATCCCAAAACAGCAAGCTCCGGCATGGTTCTTGGAGAATGATCGTCGTGATAGTCTTTGCAACTAGCAGTAGTTTGTGTAGCACTGCAGAGAACGCACAAAAAACACTCACAACAATCAGAAGGCGTGAGCAAGAGAGATAGGGGAACACCCGAACCCTCAACCGAGGGCAGGGGCAGGCAGTCAGGAGCACAGAAACAAAGATCTGCCCGAGACGTGAACTTCAGAAACAAGGGGACCCAAAACTATCAGGATCCTGCTGAGGATCCCTTATCCTTGGCGGTGTTAATATAATTTAAAATAAAATAATAATGATAAATAATTTTAAGCAAGTTCGGAAACCTCCAGATCACGGTGTCCTCCTGAGGAAGACCCACAAGTGAGGTACCCCTAAGTGCCAGAAACCCCCGCCTAGCCCAGCCGAAGGACCCCGTCGCCGTCTTCTGGCCGACCTCCGAGTGGCAGTCCTGAACTACAAACACAATGAAGCATGATTCCTGAAGCTTCTGGTGAATTTTCTGAAACTCGAAGATGAACCTTGTTTACCATTTCGGGTCTTACGCTGCCCCACTCCAAGCAGCCAAAGAAATGAAACTGAAAGCCTTAAGGTTTTGTTTAAGGCCTAGAGGGCATCGACCTTCATCACTCACTCTCGCTCTCGGACTCTCTATTCGGGGCATGCGTCCACTTGGTCTGCTGCGGTAAAGGAGAAGGCTGGTCCACAAAAACAACAACGGAGATCATGCAAGCATCGTCATCCGGTACAAAGCAAGAGGCGATCAACAGGCGATGTGGACCATACGATACCCTACCATCATACCATGCCATGCCATGCCGCTCTGTGCCCTACCCTGCCCTGCTGCGCCCTTGCCCCCGCCCTGCCCTGCCCTACCCTGCCCCTGCCCTGCACTGCCTGCCCTGCTCTGCCTTGCCGTACCCTACCGTGCCCTACCATACCCTACCATACCGTGCCGTACCACTATACAGTACAGCACAGCACAGCACAGCACAGTGCAGTGCAGTACCGTGCCCGACCCTATCCTACCATACCATAACATACCGTACCATACCACACAGACCATGCAGTGCATTGCATTACATGACATTGCCTTACATTTCGTAAAGTTAAACTAAATTACAGTCTTTAGTTGCATGACATTACATACCACTACATACCATTACATAGCATTGTATACCGTTTCGCAACATTATGCACATTTACATTGCATTACATTACAAATCACCGAAGACCACTGCAGGCCCTTGCAGACCTTTGCGGGCCGTTGCAAGCCGTTGCAGGCACATGCATGACATACCCACTCACACCGCCGGAAGCATGGCGAGTATCATCAGACAGCCGGCATCTTGTAGATGCATGCTGGTAATGCATACATACATACATGCATACACACATACATACGTACATACATACATACATACATACATACATACATGCAAACAGATATTGTGGGTGGCGAGTGGGTTCGCAATGCTTCGTCTTATCACGGACATGCCGGTAGGAGTTTCCGGCTTAGGGGTGCGAGCTTGAGGGTACGGGAACTTCCGTCAACCCCCAGGCTTAACGAAACCACCAAACAACACATCTCCCCGGGTACACGGACACCCACACTGTCTGATAAAGGTTGCGGCTCCGAAGCAAAGCCCAAGCCCTGGATTACGATCGCAGGGGCGCAGCCAACTCCCAGAACGAGTCTTGCTGCTGCTGCGGGCAGTCCTGATGTTCATCACACTTGATGCAGTCTGTCAGACATAACTTGGTCCTTGTCATCGCATGTAAATTCACCACTAGGCTATTCAGAGACTTACAGCTTAAGAATACTTGCGCAAGGCATGCAAAGATTTAGATTAAGATGTTGTCGACCAGCCTCTCTTTGGGATATTCGGATCTCCGCATGTCTCCACATGGCCAAGGCATCTCAGGCTCAGGAGTCTGTGGTTGGCAAATAATCTGCACCACTTGGAGGTCATGGGTAAATATAAATGTGGTTATACGTAGGGTTACTATAATTATAGCCCCTGTTAGGGG